ATCCTCATATTCCCATACCAGATATTGGGGTTAGCTCTAACTCTTCCTGCCCTTTGAGTGGAAGTACCAAGACACTGAACGGTGTTCTTATAGGCTCAAAACCTGTTCTACCCTGTGCACCTGTTTTCTCCAAGGATCTGAAAGCTAAGAAAATGTTGTGGAGGCGTCACTCAATGCAGAGTGACCAAATAAAACAACTTGCCAACTTTGCGGAAACTTTTGGGCACTAGAAAAAAAAATCTCTCAGGAGAAAATATGTGTGCAATAGCTGTATTATAGCTTTAACCCCATCTCTAATGCCAATTCATATGTGCTTTAAAAGTGATTATAGATTAGATGTGCTCACCTGTGTCAGTGTGTTGTTTTAGAGTAACATTTTAATTATCACCAGGGCAGTTTGGAAATGATAATTATAATAAATACTTTAGTATGAAACATTGCATTCCAAATACCTTGAAAACAAATTTATTTAAATATTGTAGTAATTTTGTAAACCGTTGTGAACAGAACAGCCCTCTTCATTAATACTTCGGCCATCCAATCATATCAATTAATGCTGTATGTTTATTTGTGAGTCTGTTCTGAGAAAAGTGACTAGTGTTATTAGATTAGATTAGATGAAACTTTATTAATCTCACGGGTGGGTTCCTCCGGGAAATTGAGTTTCCAGTAGCACAGCACCGACAGAAGTTGCACGTTACAGACACAATAAAGGGGAATGAGAGTAAGGATATAAGCATAATTATACCATATATACACATATATAAATACAGAATATATAATAGAGATAAATAGGAATACTAGTGAATTCCACATTTGAGTGAATCTATTGCACAATGATTATTGCACAATCGGATGTAAGAAAAGTATTGCAAATATTGCACAATGAAAAAAGCACTACAGGTCAGTTGTTCCCGACCCTCCTTTGTCCTCCTGTTTCCTCTCTCTCTCTCCTCCAGTGAGGAGTTAAACAGTCTGATGGCGTGTGAGACAAAGAAGGTTTTAAGTCTGTTGGTTCTTGACTTTGGGACAAAGGACCTCCTAATGAACCCCTACCTAATTACATGAGCCAAGGTGTGAAAATGGGTGTAGTTCATAATCAGCTAAGGTTTTCGGTGAGCTCATTGTGAAACCTGGCCCCACCTTATCATGTGATTTTCTGAGGTCAGAAGTCCCGGGATGTGAGTGGGCGTTAAGGCGTCTGGGAAAGGATCTCAGAACTGGATTATAGATGGCAGACAGTGGACATAAATGGCTTCTTTCATTCCTCTTTCAAACCATCTGTCTTCTTTGTCCAAAATGTGAATATTGGTGTCCTCGAAGGAGTGACCTTTGACCTGTAGATGCAGATGGTCCACCAAGTCTCTTCCAGTTGACGTGGTATACATATACATATATATACACATGTATAGATATATTTTTTCCGGATCCAAATAAACAGATGCGACCAATTAGATCCCTCCATCTGGCAACAAGTGCACTCCTAACTCAAGTCATGCGCTAGT